GTTACTGCAGTGAGTGTTCCCTTATTTGTCACCTTGGGCAGCCGTAAGAAGGGCAGTTTCGAGGGCGTTACGGTCGGTAGCTGTTTGTCTGTTCGGCCCTTGCTAGCGTTGTCAAGCTCTACAGAAATAACCCCTTTGGTCTCTGCCCTCAGTAGAGCAGAGGTTGCTAGAAAAGAGTCTCTGTGTCGAGGGTTGCTGAACTCGACCTTTCGGTGAACATTTTCCTAGCCGTAGGACCCGCTTGATGGATGCGTGGGGTGGAGTTCCTGTTAGTCTGAGGAGGGAGGTGACGTGATGCCTTGTTAACACTTCCCTTCGTTTAGCAATCTTACAGAAGGGCTCCGCTAAGCCCTTGATGATCACATTCCTGTGCCTCCCGAGGGCGATGTCGGTGTTCCCTTCGAGAGTCTTTATGCTTTTGGAGTTTGATACAACTAGCTTGGTCACTCTGGCTAGTTTGTTGGCTTGGTTGGCTAATGTGTCAATGACCACTTTCATTTGGCTTGTCAGGTCGTTCCTAAGGCTTACTGTGTCCAAGCTGTCAATGGTGGCCTTAACGCCCTTTCTTTTCACAACCGTGACATCCAGTAAGGAACTATTGAGTTCCTCTGGGAACTTTACTTCTGGGGCAGAGAATTGTCCCGTCCCTGTATGTGGTGTGCCACTAACCAGCTTAAGTGGTTCCGAGGCAGGAGTCATCGATTTTGGTGGGATGCCGGGCTCCGCAGCCTTTCCCTTGGTGGCCTGTGTTAGAATATTAGTGCACACATAGCACACTCATTTCAGGCATTTGTGCTCAGTGTAGAGGCCTTAGGTCTTGATAGTGAGTTTGCTGCACTTACGGTGATACCATGTACCACAACAGTCATAGCAGATGCCCTCGCTTACGTTAACTAGGCAGCCAGTTCTCCCACAGGGAACTACCCTGCCCTCAGGTTTAGGGCTAGCCTTAGCGGCTGAGGAGCGTTTTTTCCTTGTAGCTCTAGTGGTCATTAGGAGATAACCTGCTGCGTCCGGGTGGTAAGAACGGAGGATTTTGATAGATTAAGGGAGCCTTAGGCTGGCGAACTATGACTTGGTGTTAAAAATATACTATATGAGATGAAAGAGGTTTATTCTAAGCAAAAAGTAAGTAAAATGGGGTAAATGAACATAAAAAGCATGAAAGGGAAATAGCATGCACTGGTTAGGAACATTAACCTCGAGCCAAAGTTTACACGGACGCTGGACTCACCGTATTTCCTCAAAGAAAGCAACCACTAACGCCTAGGCTCCCCTTAGTAGCGCCCTGAGCTGACCCTTAGGCGAGTACCGGTCGGTTTCCTCTGGACCTGGATCCAACGTGGTCTAATTTCTGGATTTGAAAGGTGATTTCCTTGAGTATTTGCCCCACGCTCCGAAAATTGATACCGCGCGCAAGGTCAAGGTCAAAATAGGTGCCGGATTTACCAGAAAGTGACCAAGAAAAAGGAGGATGCTGTTTTTGTATGCGACGGTGCTTGCACGAAGCAGCTTATAATGCGAGCTGGTACGGGGGTTTGACATGGATTAAGTAAGTTCTTTTTGCAAGCAGTGATCCTCCTTGTTCAAGATTCGGTCAGCTAATCTTTCACATGCGGCGATATGTTTGCACACAATAAAATCAACCAGAACTTCTCTGTCTATGCCGCTACTTCGAGAAAGGAATGTAATAGAACTGGAATTTATTACGAAATCTTTTTCTTTTAGGCCGGGAAAAAATACAGGGGAACAGTAGAGCCAATGAGGGAGGATGCACACTACCACGGATTTTGAAATTACATTTGGAGGACAAGCATGCATAAAAAGAGAGTTTTCGAACCTTGTTATAAACGTTCTCTACATGTAAGGTCCAAAAGAGGTTGTGGGATAAAAAGACCCCGAGGTATTTAACAGAGTCAGCTTCGGGAATGCTGTGACTGTTAAATTTCTTCCGAATTTGCGCTACCTGGATGGGCGAGTGCCGGTATAGGGCGTTAGTTTGTTAGTTTCTCGCCAAACTCCCAAAAAGATGTTGTCGTCCTCCGGTTGTGTTTATATTTTCCTACTGTGTCTTGATGGGGTTTGCACACAGTGAAAGTTCTACTAATACCCTACTGCAGCTCCGAGATAGTGTCCAATTTTCATATTTTACGTCCAACTTGGTTTTGGATCTGATAAGAGGAAAAAGACCACCAATAGCTGTTTTCATGTTCTACGTTGACGTGATGAACACCAGGGATTCTCGGATTACATTCAGATCAGTTGAAACAATTGTTACATCCTACGTTGGATTTGGCGTCTGTTTGGTTTTGGGAATCTTGTTTGCTGCCTTGATACCACTCACTGGTTTCGTCTTCTGCCGTGCGCGATGTTGTGATAAATGCGGTGGCCGTGTTCAGCTGATGGACAAGAAAAAAGATCCATGCAGACGATTACAATTTGCCTGGTTTTCATTGTTACTATGCAGCCGGTGGCTGTTGTCCTGGCTTTCATAAATCATATTTGCTCCACGAAGCACTCGTTCACCAAGACCCCCGAATCGGATCAATCAGTCGGCTGAATCTAAGTCTTGTGAAAACTGAGCACAGTTTAGACGCAATATACAAGATGTCCATTAAGACGTCTTCAGTCGACGTGGACGACCGCAAGCAGCGTTTTATTGGAATCGTTGATGGCGCTCTGCAGGATTTCCAAAGTGAATTCATTCGACGTTCAAATGCTGATCAGGTCATCACTCCAGTTGTCAATTTACAAACAACTGTGACCAATTTTGCTCCCAGCTCAGACAACGTCAATTTCTTGGATGATTTTAACAATTCACTTGTGCGTCTTACACAAGAACTATCATCGAATCGTACCAAACTCGTGGAAACGCTGGATCCTAATTGTCCGTTGGATAAGCACATCAAATGTGTGCAACTGATGCAGGAAGCACAAAAGAGCTTGCAGGTCCGTTACACATTGGATCAGTTTCAGACGGTCGATTTGTCCATGCTGATTGAACAATTGGAGCGTCATCGTAATGATTTTCAATCGTTGACTGACCTGAACAATACACTCCAAACACTGGCCGGTGTGATCACAAAAGCTATCGAAATCGTGCGTGGGATGATCTGGTCCACCCACCGGAGATATGAGAGAAACTTGCTTGTAGTTTTGAAAGCAGCTTACGTGAGATCAAACGTGGACTGGCTCTCGTCCGAGAACGATTAGAGATACACCAGGATGTGCAAAGCAGTCAAATATTCATTCAAATTGTCGAGTTTCAGTTCCACGGTGGCATCGCCTTGTTGTGCATCCCGGTCCTCATATTTCTGTTGTTCTATCTGGGTCTATGCTTCGGTACCTGCGGACATCGACCATACGAACAAACCGGTGTTTGTATTCGTGGAGTCGGAGCAAATCTTCTCTATGCCGGAATCGGTTTCGTCTTCCTGTTCTCCACCATACTCATGTTCGTCTGCGTGTTTCTCTTTCTGGCTGGTGGTCATTCGCAAACGGAGTTGTGTCGGTATTTAACCGGTCATATGCCGGATGGGCCTCGCAAACTAGACGACTACCTGCATGAAAGCGTACAGTACATGATCAAACAGGTTCGCCGTGAAGCTCGCCTGAATTAGGGACGTGCCGCTGAGCAGAATGCACAACAATAAACAACAGTTGATTCGTCCACGGCCGAAATTGTTCGCAATATAACCTGAGCTCGAGTGACCGATGCCATTTTGACTCTGTGTGAGAATGAGCCGTTTGTAGATGCCATCAGTGGCGGCCAGTTCACGTGGCCAGCGTTGCATGCACCCATCTAGTCAATCTTGAAAGAGTTGATTGATTCGTTCAAAACGGTGAATCTTAACAAACCGCCGGAGGACACCATTCAATCCTGTTCGGAGATTTTAGAACGCATGAAGTTTCTAGACTCGGTTAATTTTTCCAGAGCAATCAATCAGGCGGAACTACCTTTGACTTATATATCAGATCTGGGGCACTACGTGGCGGAATTACGTTCACTGAACGTGAATGCAATTTAACCTCAGATTGATTCTTTGGCAAGGCTCCCCCTCAAACTGGACCAACTACGCGGTCAAGCGCGACGCCTTTACACTCAGCTAAACAGTATGCCCGGTCTTTGCCGTCGAATTCAACTAAGATTTGGGGAATTCCAGCGTAATTTGATTGAGTTCCGTACCGTATTCAAGAGGGAACTGCAACTAGCGGTTATCGCTACTTGGTGTGACATTCCCTGCGATTCCCTCCGGATTGCCGTAAAACGT